TTATTATATTTCATTTTATTATATTTCATTCTATTTATTCTTTATTTATTGTTGCTCATGAAGACGAGTCATTCTTATTTTGTATAATTTGATACATTTCATTTCTTTCATTCTTATTATTTCTTTTACAACTTGTTTTATACAATCTCTTCATTTCCTATTCTTATTCATTTCCTTCTTTTCTTTCATTAACTTCGTTTTATATTCCATTATTTCTTTGATGATTTCTATTCATTATTTATCATTATCTTATTATTTCATCATTGAGTTATTCTATATTTCTTTTATTCTTCTCATAGCTTATCTTGATTTCATATCAATAATAACTCTTCCTCATCTTTTCTTCTAACTGTGATTGTTTGTTTCTTCTTTCATTTTGTATCTTTCATTTTTTCTTCTCTTCTTCACTTTCAATGTATATTTCTTCTTATTCTTCTTGCTTGCTTATTTTCTCTTTCACTATTCTTTCAATTTCTTCATTTCTCTTAATCTATTCTTTATCTATATTTTTGTTTTTTATCTCTTTTCTTTTGTCTTTCATTCCTAGTTGTTTCTTGTTATATCTTTTATTCTTATACATTTTCCTTTGTCTTGGTTATTCTCATATTATTATTGATTAAATATTCTACATGCACTATGATATTTGTGGTTATACTAATTACTTTTATTTTTACGATAAGTGTACTTAAATGTGAAGTGACTATAGTGCTTATAATTATGATAAAATGTAATAAAGTAAATATTGCTATTTTTTGTTTGATAATGTTTATGATTATAGGATATGATAATGTCTTTTAAATTCATTTGTTTGTTCATAATTATTTCTATGTGATTTTCATTATAGTCGTGTGCTTTTGAAATAGGTTTTATATAAAAAAAAGAATAAAAGAAATAAATTTTGAAAGTGCTGAAAGTATTATAATTTATTGTTAAGTAAATTAATAAATCTAAGGAAAAGGTGTGTTTGAGGATATTTTATTAAACAACTCATTGATAAACAGTTGGCTTTATATTTTTAAAGAAAATAGTAAAAAAGAAAAGTAAACAACCAGAAATGAATATGAAAAGTAAATTTAAATCAATTCTTTTTAATTAAATAACAAGAAATTTTCCATTTATAATAGAAACACAAAGGTGAAACAAGTAACAAATTAGTGTTTTATCGTCCATCAGCGTTTTCAAGAGTAACTTTACCG